TTGGACATAAAATTTAAAAGAGCAGAGGTATCAGTTTTGCTGATCTCCAAGAATGGACTGCAAAGTAAAATATCATCTACATACTGTATGAGTTTAGGCTTAGGGAGAGACAGTGAGAGTAGATCAGAAGCTAAAGCCTGACCAAACAGGTGTGTGCTGTCCCGGAATCCCTGGGCAAGGATGGTCCAGGTGAGGTGTGTGGAGAGGTGAGTGTCGGGGTCAGGCCAGGTAAAGGCAAAGATATTTTGAGATTGAGAGCTGAGAGGAATAGAGAAAAAAGCATCCTTGAGATCTAGATCTGAGAAGAGGGAGGTTCCTGGAGGGAGAGTGGAAAGAAGTGTGTAAGGGTTAGGCACTACAGGATGAAGGGGGACCACTTAATGAGGCAGAGGTCTTGAACCAGGCAATAGGTTCCATTAGGTTTTTTAACAGCAAGTGTAGGGGTGTTAAAGGAAGAAGAGGTGTGGCGAAGTAGCTTTTTTCTTAAAAGGTCAGAGATAATAAGTTAAAGTCCCCTAAGGCTCTGGAGAGAGAGGGGGTACTGAGCTTGAGTAATGCACTTTGTAGGATCTTGTAATTGGATAGCAATGTGGGAATGATGTCCCAGACTTGGGGATCCACCTAGGAGGCTGGTAGGGGAAAAGAAGCATTGGGGCTGGGAGGTTGGGAAGCTAAAAGGAAAAGGAGTGGAGCTGCTGGCGAGTCTGGAGTAAGGTGAATGGAAGGAGAAAATGAAATGAAAGCCCCTAGTTTTACTAAAATATCTCTTCCCATAAGAGGTACCAGGAAGGTTGGCATGACTGAAAATGAATGAGTGAGATAAATAACCCTAAAAACACAGTTAAGTGGTGGAGTCTGCTGAGGTAGATGAGGCTGACCCCCTACCCTGACAATAGGGAGAGGTAGGCCCCCAGAATTCCCTTGGTACTGAGTTTGTGGCTCCAGTGTCAGAGAGAAAGGAGATGGGCCATCATGATAACATAATGTTTACCCATGGCTCCCTGTTACAGATAACAGTTGTGGTCAGGTCAAAGGAGCCTGGGAAACCTTACTTGTCCATGGCCAGACCTAGAAGGTCAATTTGGGAATTTTCTGGGTTTGATGTCTCCATGCCACTCTGTGCACAAGGACAATCGACTGCCCAATGTCCTTCCCTATGGCATCTCAGACAAGGTCTCATGGGACCAAGATGAGGATCAGGGCATGCTCAGGCCCAGTTACCAGTTCTACGACATTTGAAACATGGGCCTGGTGATTCTAGAGCCCCGGGGGGCAAGGGAGCAACACGGACAGCAAGAATTGGGTGGTCTGTCACCTCGGCCGGTCGGGCAGTCATGGTTAGCAAGTGACAGTGACTATGGGCTTTGTCATTCCTCACATGGTACACCTTCAAAGCCAACTCTAAGACTTCTGCCTGCGGGGTCAAGGGGCCTTTCTCCATACGTCTAAGTTTAGCCTTAATGTCAGAGTATCACTGAGAAAAAAAAATGAGTCATGAGTAACTGTCTGCCTTCCTTAGTTTCCAGATCTAAGTTTCCAGATTGTAACAGAGCTTTAGTGAAGCATTCCAAAACTGTGGAAGGATTTCCCTTTGAATCTTGAATGACCTCTGAGAACTTATTATAGTTTACTGGCTTGAGGGCAGCCTTACGAAGACCTGTCAGGAGGCAAGTCAAACACCAATTTCTAGCTAAAATCCCACCTGGAGTGTTACAGGCCCAGTGAGGTTCTTGCTCAGGAACCACCTTTGCCCCGGAGGGTTTGTTGCATGAGTTTGGTGAATCTCATCTGCATGTATTCTGGCCTGCTCGCAAACTCACCTGCGCTCTTCAGGAAGTAGGTTATTAGATAGGATCATATTGATATCATGAAAGGTAAGATTATAAGACTGGGTAATATATTGGAATTGTTTTATGAAAGTGGCAGAATTAGACATATAGGACCCAAGTTTTCGTTCTATATGGGAGAGTTCTGAGGGTAAGAAAGGAATATGTACCCTAATCAATCCATCTATGCTGGCCACCTCCTGCAACGGAAGAACTGCAGCAGGCTTGGCTTGCTTAGGGTTTAGTTCCATAGCAGCATGTGAGCATGTGAGAGGAGGGGTAAAAGTGGGTGCCAGAGTTGGGTGACTGCTGTGGTCAGGCACCGGAAAGGAGGAATGATTCAGCAGGGCTGCTCTGGGGGAAGAGAGCTGAAGAGTGATTGGAGGGAGGTGGTGAGGCAGCAGGAAGTAAAGGAGCAGAAGTATCTGTTGGGGTTGGGAAGGTGTGGATTCCTTAGCAGGGTCCAGAGCAGAAGCTGAAGGAACTGGAGTTGGAGCTGAAGGAACCAGGGTAGGGGCTGGGGCTGAAGAAATGGCAGTAGGAACTAAAGGACTGGGTAGGGACTGAAGGAACTATGGTGGGAGCTGAAGGAACAGGGATAGGGACTGGGGCTGAAGGAATGGTGGTAGGAACTGAAGGAGCAGGGGTAGAGACTGGGGGAATGAAGGTAGCTGCATGATGAGGTCAAAAAGGCGGGGGTTTGTTAACTAGGTCCAGAATGGAAGTGGAAGGTTCTTCCAGTACCGATGACATAGCCTGGAACATGTGAGCAGGTGAAAAACTTGCAAGGACAGAGGGCATAGGCTTAGAGCTTAGACAGTAACAGGCTTGGATGTAAGGAAACTCCTTCTATTCGCCTGTGTGTTGACAGTAGTTAGAAAACTCCTGTAAAATATTCAGATCAAAGGTGCCATTAGGCAGCCACTTTAGATTGTCATCTAAATTGTAATGAGGCCATTTTTAAAAACAAAGATGAACAAGTGTGGGAATCTGTAGGTAGGGCATTAAGGCCTGGGGTTTCAGGGCCTCTAAAAGGCATCCCAGGGGAAGGCTGGATTGATGGGCTTGGATGGCTTGCTACCTATAGCTGAAACCTTGAAAACCCAAGAAAAATGGCTACACCACAAGGCCTACAGTGAGACGTCTCTCCACTATAGGCGGGGTGTGAATCAGCCGTGCGAACACCGCAGGACCCATGGGAAACATTATCCACCCCAGGATGGAGTGTTACATCCTGACTAGATCTGGTCAGGGCAGCTCTGAAGCCAAAGAGGCCAGAGGCCGTTCCAAGTGGCCTTTCATGGCTGGGAAAAAGAAGAAAAGAAAAGAAAAGAAAAGAAAAGAAAAGAAAAGAAGAGGGGGAAAAAGAATCTGAGGAACCCTGGGCCCCCAGTCACAGGAGGACCAGCCCTGGCCATCCAAACATGATTTTAGCTAAGGGAAGCAATCCAGAGATGAATGTCAGTGAAGGACTCAACCATAGTTTTAAAAACTGTAGTTGGGGGGGGGGGCAGTCCCCCTGTTTCTAGGAACACCAGAAGATTGCTGGAGCTCAATGATCAATTCCTTGGGTTCAAAGAAACGGTTAAGCTGACCAGAATAGAGGAAACTCACCAATTGAAGCTGGTGTTGTGTACAGAAATCACACTCAGGCATATGGAGCACATGGTTGTTGAGGAGAAAAATACCTGGTTCCAGATTCCAGATCCCGACCCTGGGAGAGGGGCTCCGGATGGGAGAGCCTCCTGAGTCTCATAGCACCAATGAAATTACAGGGGGTGGGGGGTGAGAAGGAAACACAGAACAAGCAACAAATCCACTTAGGAGTTTATTAAAGAGGGCATGTACAGGCCTGGGGACTCGCCTATGACATATGCAGACGACCCAGCTCACACATGCATGCAAGTGCTTAGCTGAGTCCCACATGAATGTAACCACGCATGCGCACAAGGGCTTAGCTGAGTCATGGTGGATATAACCACATATGCACGCACGTGGGTCATGCGGGGCCCTTTAACATTCAGGAACTTCTGCCTGAGGGCTTGTCTACACATGCATGGCTTTAGAACCCGGAAGTGCAGCCTTATTTGTGGTTGAATAATTACAATACCTCTGCAATTAATCTTGAAATCTGGAACGGTAATCCTTCTTGCATTGCTTAGCTCGGCTTGCTTTGACTATCTGGGGACTTTTGTGGCTCCATATGAATTTTAGAAATTTTTTCTATCTCTGTGACTTGTCTTGTTCCTGATTTCGGTGGAATCACTGGGAGTTTCTCTCCACTTAGTCTGATGTTGTCTGATGGCTTGCTGTATATTCCATTCATTATGTTTAGCTATGTTCCTTGTATCCCTGCTCTCTCTAAGACCTTTATCATGAAGAGATGTTGTACTGTTTCGAAAGCTTTTTCAGAATCTAATGAGATGATCATGTGGTTTTTACTTTTCAGTTTGTTTATATGGTAGATTACATCGACAGATTTTCATATGTTGAACCATCCCTGCATCTCTGGGATGAAACTGATCTGATCATGGTGGATGATGGTTCTGATATGTTCTTAGATTTGATTTGCCAGTATTTTATTGAGTATTTTTGCATCAATGTTCATGAGTGAGATTGGTCTGTAATTCTCCTTCTTAGTAATGTCTTTCCGTGGTTTGGGTATCAGGGCAATTGTAACCTCATAAAAAGAGTTTGGCATTGTTTCTTCTGTTTATATTATGTGAAATAATTTGAGGAGTTGGTATTAGTTCTTTTTGAAAATCTTGTAGAATTCTGAGTTGAAACCATCGGTCCTGGGCTTTTTTTGGTTGGGAGACTTTTGATGACTGTTTTTTTCTTCAGCAGTTATAGGTCTGTTTAATTTGCTTATCTGGTCTTGATTTAATTTTGGTAAGTGATATTTATCCAGAAAATTGTCCATTTCCTTTAAGTTTTCCAATTTTGTGGAGTACATGTTTTTGAAATATGACCTTATGATTCTCTGGATTTCCTCTGTGTCTGTTGTTATGTCCCACTTTTCATTTCTAATTTTGTTAAATTGGATATTCTCTCTGTGCCTTTTGGTTAGTTTTGATAAAGATTTGTCTATTTTGTTGATTTTCTTAAAGAAATAACTCTTTGTCTCATTGATTCTTTGTATTGTTTTCTTTGTTTCTATTTTGTTGATTTCAGCTCTCAATTTGATTATTTCCTGCCATCTAGTTCTCATGGGTGAGTTTGCTTCTTTTTGTTCTAAAGTTTTCAATAGTTCTGTTAATGCACTAGTGTGGGATTTTCCCAGCTTCTTTATGTAGGCATTTGGTGCTATGAACTTTCTTCTTAACACTGCTTTCATTGTGTCCCATAATTGGGTATGTTGTTGGTCATTTTCATTGAATTTTAGGAAGTCTTTAATTTCTCCCTTTATTTTTTTCTTGACCCATTGATGATTCAGGTGAGCACTATTTAATTTCCATGTGTTTGTGGACTATCTGGAATTAGTATTGCTGTTGACTTCTAGTTTTAACCATGATGATCTGATAAGGTACATTGGGTTATTCCAATTTTTGTATTTGCTGAGGTTTTTGTTTTGTTACCGAGTATGTGGTCAATTATTGAGAAGGTTCCATAAGGTGCTGAGAAGGTATATTCTTTTCTGTTTAGATGGAATATTCTATAGATGTCTGTTAAGTCCATTTGTGTCATAACATCTGTTAGTTCTCTTATTTCTCTTTTCATTTTTTGTCTGACTGACCTGTCCATTGGTGAGAGGGTAGTGTTGAATTCTCCCACTATTAGTGTGTGAGGTTTAATGTGTTATTTAAGCTTTGGAAGTGCTTTTTTTACATATGAGGGTGCCTTTGTATTTGGGGCATAGATGTTCAGTATTGAGATTTCCTCTTGATGGATTTTTCCTGTGATTAATATGAAATGCCCTTCTTTGTCTCTTTTGATTGATTTCAGCTTGAAGTCTATTTTGTTAGACATTAAGATAGCTACACCCACTTGTTTCATAGGTCCATTTGACTGGAATATTTTTTCCCAACCCTTTACTCTGTAGTGATGTCTGCCTTTGAGGTTGAGATGTGTTTCTTGTATGCAGAAGAAGGATGGATTCTGTTTTCATATCCAATCTGTTAGCCTGTGCCTTTTCATAGGTGAGTTGAGTCCATTTACATTAAAAGATATTAATGACCAATGATTACTATCTCCTACTAATTTAGTTTTCATTGTTGGTGATGCTAATTTGTGCATTTTTCCCTTCTTTGGGATTTGCTGCTATGAGACCATCGATTGTCTCTGTTTTTGTTGGTGTAGCCAACTTTCTTGACTTGGAGTTTTCCTTCTAGTATTTTGTGTAGGGCTGAATTTATGGCTAGATATTGATGAGAGAGATCTCGGTTTGTCATGGAATATCTTATTTTGTCCTCCTATGGTGATTGAAAGTTTTGCTAGGTATAGTAGTCTGGACTGGCATCCATGGTCTCTTAATCTCTGCATAATGCTTAACCAGGACCTTCTGGCTTTCATTGTCTCCAATGAGAAGTCAAGTGTAATTCTGATAGGTCTACCTTCATATGCTACTTGGCCTTTTTCCTTTGCAGTTATTAATATTCTTTCTTTACTCTGTATGTTTAGTGTTTTGATTATTATGTGGTAAGAGGACTTTTTTTGGATCCAGTCTATTTGGTGTTCTGTAAGCTTCATGTATCTTCATAGGCATATCTTTCTTTGGGTTGGGAAAGTTTTCTTCTTTGATTTTGTTAAATATATTTTCTGTGCTTTTGAGTTGAACTCCTTCTTCTATACTCCTTCTTCTATTCTTAGATTTGGCCTTTTCATGGTGTCCCATATTTTCTGGATATTTTGGGTTAAACTTTTGTTAGATTTAATGTTTTCTTTGACTGATAAGTCTATTTCCTCTATTGTATCTTCAGTGGTTGAGAGTCTCTCTTCCATCTCTTGTATTCTGCTGTTTATGTTTGCATTTGTGGTTCCTGATCATTTTCTCATGATTTCTATTTCTATAAGTCCCTCAGTTTTTGTTTTCTTTATTGTCTCTATTTCAATTTTCAAGTCTTGAATAGTTTCTTTCATATGTTTGTTTGCTTTTTCTTGGTTTTCTTTAAGGGATTTGCTGATGTCTTCCAATTTTTGTTTGTCTTCTCCTCCATTTCTTTGAGGGAATTTCTCATTTCCTCATTAAGAGTTTCAAACGTTCTTTTGAAGTTATTTTTTAGGTCATTTTCTTCTGCTTCATCTCTATTTGATCATTCAAGTCGTGCTGTTGTAAGGTCTCTATATTTTACTGGTGTTGTGTTGCTCTTTGTGGTGCTGCATGTGTTCTTACCTTTTTTACTCATCTTTTTCTCTAATAGTTGTGGTTGGGGCTGTCTGTGATTCTATTGAGTAATCTTCTAGGTGCCAGTGAGTCCAAAGTGCAGATGGTTGTTCCTCATGGTACAGTCAGTGCCACAGTTCTAGTTAACCTGTTGGTTACTCTGTGTTCCTGGAGATAGCTCAGTGCTCCAGTGCTTTGCTTCACTCCCTTGGAGTTTGCTGTCTCGGGCCTACTTTGTCCTAGTTTACTGGCTTTGACCTGTTTCTGTAAATCCTGATCTGGATCCCCTCCTGCTGAATTCCCTGCCTTAGAGTTGGTCCTGCAAAGGTCTATGGCTCTGGTCTACTGCCTAGAAGTTCCCAGGCTCGGTTGTGCCCAGAACTTCAGAGGACCTGGCTCAGGCTACTCCCTCAGAGGTCCCAGACTCATACTCAAACCCGCAGAGGTTCCAGGTTCCTGCCTATTCCATTTGATGTCCCAGACCAATGCTGGGACCCACAAATATCCTGGCTCAGGCCTACTCCCTCTGAAGTCCCAGAGACATCTTGAGAATGAATTTTGCCTTTGGTGGCCACAGGTAGTCTCCAGTCTTGGTGAACTGAAGCACCTTCCCTTGGGGAATTTTTTTTCATATTTACAATTATGCCAGTTAATTTATGGCAGTTAATTTCCATATGCTCCAAACAACCTGATTGAAGCTTCTAAAAATACAATGCCAATGTAAAGTCTTGCTAAAGGATAGTACCACAGTTTCCTAGGTTTCCCTCTCAATCAAGTTTTGCATAGCTTTGTACCCTTGGGAAACTCTCAGACAAGATTCACTTAGGGCAACAAAAGGGATGTGTAACACAAAGGATGGATTAGAGCTAGTTGCTAACTCTGGAGTTAGGCCAGGTGTGGGCTAGTAGGGATTGGTCCTAGTTGCTAACTCTCCATCACCAGGTCAGCAGGAAATTCTGCTGCAGATCCCCCTTTCTTTTACATAAAATTTAATTACTTTGCAGATTATGCACCCTCACAGTATATATAACCGTTTTTCTATCTGTCTTGCAATCTTATATAAGTAGGCCAAGACACATTTTAAAGATAACAAGGCTACAATTGCTAAGACAAGAGTAATATCTGCTACAATAAGAAATCTATTAAAGTGATTCATAGGGTTGAATGATGTTATGCTACCTGCAAGACTTTCTATAATATTCATTCCTGTCATATCAGGTATCATTTTGCAAAAGTTTTTTTTATTTCTTTTTGTAAGTTATAAAACATTTGAGAAGAATTAGGATGAACCATCAAATGCATCTTGACCTTATCCCAATCATACTTGCTTTCACTAAGTCTTAAGGATGTAATACAATAAGAAGAATCATTCCAATTACATTTTAATTTTATCCGTTCCTTCAAAATTTCTAACTGATCTCCTAACAATATAACAGCTTGACTTAATTCAGCTAATTCATTCACTATCTCATTATTAATTTTATTTTATTCAGTGAAAAGTTTTGTTGAATGTTTATGCCAGTCTCTAATTAATTCAGCAGTTTTCATTTCTTTATAAAACGTCACTCCAGCTGCTGCTGCCATAGCCATCAAAGCAATGATTCCCATAATAACTGTAATAAGCAGTCCAACTATTTGACATGTTCTTTCTAATACTCTCTCAGTGAGTTTTTGCACCAGGATCATCACAGGACAGTCTTGCCATGATGTCAGAGACCAGCTTCAACAAAAATACCATATACCATGGCCTCGACAACCTCAATGGTATCTAGATTGCTGACTTTGCTCTAAGAATATTTAAATTTTCAAAGGTCGAATTTAAAAACATACTAGAATTAACACAGGTATGAAGGGTATAGCATTCACAAATGATGTTGTAATAATTAGGCTGCCATTGTACAGGCCCCTTCAGTAGTGTTAGGAGTATTTTCCTAAAACCAACCTCTCTGCTGGTGCAAATAATCCCAATCAAACTGAATCAGACCAAATTAAAAGATATCAATGTTTAATTGGATGCCTTCCACGTTCTGGCTTTTTGGAACCCTAGTCTATATGGATGCACAGATCCCTAGGCCTGGATGTAGATGGGAGGGCCTTGGACTTCCCACAGAGTAGGGTTCCCAGCTCTCCCTCAAGCAGGGCTGGGGAGGGAGAAGGGGATGTGGGGGAGCAGGAGGGGATTGGGAGGAGGGAAGGAAGTGTAAATAATTGAATGGAAAAATAAAAAAATTTTTAAAAATAATTGGATGTCTGCACTCTCGGATGGTCAAGGGGGAGAATGGAAAGCCACCAAAATGACCACCAGAGAGGAAGAGGGAACACTATGTGATTATTTTCTAAGGAGCAGTTTAAATGGCCTGTGGGAGTGGTCTTGACCTGTCCTGGGGAGGGGTCAAGGTTTGGCAGGCTCCCTTGACCCTCCCTGGGGAGGGGTCATGGTTTGATGGGCTCAGAAGAGGGGGCTTCCAAAGATGGAGGCCTGAGGCTGGGATTACAGTAAGGAAGTGGTGCACATGGCAGAAAAGGATGACTTTGATTTAGTCTAGAAAACAAAGTATATTTACCTTCCTTAATGTTTACTTTTTCTTCTCACACCTTACAAGGGTTGAAGAAAGTTAGACAGGATGGAAGAAGCTAAATGTCTGTTCCAACTTGGTTTCCCTAAATCCTGTAACAAAAGTATGTTGTGTCTTCAGCAATCGGGTCTTAACTCTAGTTCTGGTAGACTACCAAGAGCAACAGCAACAGATTTTGCTGTTTGTGGAGTCTCTGCATGACCATTAACTCTTAGGGAGATACTCCATGCTTGACATTCTGCATCCTCCTAACCAGTAACTCTTAGGAAGGTACTCCATGCTTGGCGTTCTGCATCCTCCTAACCAGTAACTCTTAGAAGGGGGTACTCCATGCTTGGCATTCTGCATCCTCCTAACCAGTAACTCTTAGGAAGGTACTCCATGCTTGGCGTTCTGCATCTTCCTAACCAGTAATTCTTAGGGAGGTACTCCATGCTTGGTGTTCTGCATCTTCCTGACCAGTAACTCTTAGGGAGGTACTCCATACTTGCCATTCTCTATCCTCCATGACCAGTAACTCTAGGGAAATACTCCATGCTGGGCAGTGGGGACAAAGGACATCCAAACAGTAGTCACAAACAAGGCTTGCTATTATGAATGATATCTGAAAGGCTACAAAATAAGCTTGGGATTGCCAGTACTGGGAACAGGGGCAAGTCTAGGTCCTGAAACATACACTCTAAGGCATCCCAAGATCATCTCATCAGACCTAGAATCTCAGAACCTACAGAACGATGTTGTCAGGACTGCAATTGTGGGGTCTGTGCAATCTATCAGGAGCAGACATTGAATCCACTGTCTGTAATCATCCCAGTATTCCAATGCCTACTACAGGAGAGACCACAGCCCCCAAATTCCAGATGGGAACACTGAGCTCAGTGGAGCTGTGGTATCATCACATGAACGGAATGAGGACAAAGCCGTATCTGGGAACTCACCCTTTATTCTCAGCCATGAGAACAGGTCTAGCACAGAGTAAGACACTGGTGAATACCTGACGTGTGGATGAAGGTCACACAGCATTGTTACAGGTGAAGTGAAACTTGAACTAGACTCTTCTACTCTCTAAGCGCAAGTTCTTTGCACTGCACTGTTCAGAATATCCCAGTGCCCACAGCCAGTCTGCTGTACAGCTTAGACAGATGCCTAAGCAGGTCCAGTTGTGTAGACTGGAAAGAAGGAAGATAGAAAGGAATGAAAGAATAAACAACTCGACTGTGTACACTTATATTCCATTTTTTTCTCCCTTATTTAGGAAGTGTTCCAAAAATATGCCAGAACCTTGAAGAAAATGATGATCTTTGTAAGACAGAGACCTTGAAAACAGAGGGCTTGCTCCAAAACTTCACACAACTACTACTCCTACAAAAATCTTGTCCAAGAGACTGGGAGAGCATGGTCGGGAAAAGCTGGTATCAATGTGTAGCAGAGAAGAGAGGACGTATGATTGAGATCCAAGACTTCTTTCACCTAAGCCCAGATACACAGGAAACGCCTCAATTAGTTGTATTACAGGGGGCTGCTGGCATTGGGAAGTCAACACTAGCCAGGCAGGTGAGGAGAGCATGGGGGGAAGGCCAGCTCTACAGGGATCACTTCCAGCATGTCTTCTACTTCAGCTGCAGAGAGCTGGCCCAGTGCAAGCAACTGAGCCTGGCTAAGCTCATAGCAAAAGACCAGACTGTGCCCCCAGTTCCCATCAGGCAGATCTTGTCTCACCCTGAGAAGCTGCTCTTCATCCTAGATGGCATAGATGAGCCAGCATGGGTCTTGGAAGATCAGAATCCTGAGCTGTGTCTGCACTGGAGTCAGACACAGCCTGTGCACACACTTCTGGCCAGTTTGCTGGGGAAATCCATCATTCCTGAGGCTTCCTTGCTGCTCACAGTTCGGACCACAGACCTGAATAAGATCATTCCTTCTTTGGGACAGCCACATTGGGTGGAAGTCCTGGGCTTCTCTGAGTCTGGACGGAAGGAATATTTCTACAAATATTTTTCAGAAAAAGGAGGAGCAATTAAAGCTTTTAGCTTGGTTGCCTCAGACCCAGTACTCTCAACACTGTGTGAGGTGCCCTGGGTGTCCTGGCTGGTCTGTACTTGTCTGAAGCAGCAGATGGAACAGGGGAGACAACTCTCACTCCCCTCAAAGACCACCACAGCCCTCTGTCTGAAATACCTTTCCCTGATTCTCCCAGACCAAGCCCTGTTAACCCAGCTCAGAGGGCTCTGCTCACTGGCTGCTAAGGGAATCTGCAGAAGAAGGACCCTGTTCAGTGAGAGAGATCTCTGTGAACAAGGGTTATCTGGTGATGTCATTGGCACTTTTCTGAAGATTGGTATCCTTCAAAAGCAGCCCAGCTCTCTGAGCTTCAGCTTTTCCCACTTGTGTCTCCAGGAGTTCTTTGCAGCAATGTTCTGCATCTTGAAGAATAATGAGGAGAAATGTGGTGATATGAAAATAGACAGAATTGTGAAAACACTGATAGAAGTGTATGGGAGAGATGACCTGTTTGAGGCACCCACCATTCGCTTCCTGTTTGGCCTGTTGAGTAAACAAAGGGTAAAAGAAATGGAGAAGATCTTCATCACCCGCTTACCTCTGGACACCATCTGGAAAATGCTATATAAAGCCAGGGCATTGCCCGAGCACCTGCATCTCTGTTCTCTGGGGTTGTTTCACTGTTTTTATGAGACTCAGAATGAGGGGTTCCTAACAAAGGTGATGCACGATCTTCAAACAATAAAGGTTTGTGACCCAACAGATATGGCTTACCCAGTGTTCCAGACAAATGTGAACCACCTGGTGGTCCAGACAGACATGGAGCTCATGGTGTTCACTTTCTGTATTAAGTTCTGCCGCCATGTGAAGAGACTTCAGCTGAGTGGTTATGGACAGCAGAGACCAACACTGTTGGCCCCCAGGATGGTTCTGTGAGTATCCAGACACAGCCCTCTCTCCAACTTCTCTGTGGATCCCATAAGCACACGTGTTCTAGGCACCAGCACCACCCTAGGCTGGCTCCAGGGCAGCAGGATACAGGTCACCAGTGGCATCTAACTGCTGGATCTGATCGCCTTTCTCTATTTGCCTCTGTGTGCCTGACTATACAATGGAGCTATAAGCATTTATCTTTCTCTCTGTCTCAGTAAGGACTACCTACCTGCTCTGATTCAAATCTTCACCCTCCACAAGGCTCAAATGTTATTGGTTTCATGATGCTTTCTTCCTAAGAAACTGCTCATTCAGCTCCTGCAAGAACCATCCTCTCTCCCCATGACAGTGACCTTGACGCTGATGATGTCTTGCCCCATCTCTTCAGAATTCATATGTATGAGAATTCCTATGTTTTCCCTACCCAGCTTGTGTCAATGTAGGCAGCCTAGTCCTGGCACTCAGCATGAAGGCTTCCTAACTACCTGCCCATCCAGCAGCAAGATAGACCTCCCCTTCCAAGATTGCCTACACTGGGCAGAATGCTGACTGGGATCAGTATGTGTCTCTCTTCCTTCCAGATGATTCACTCCAAAGCACTGCTTTTATGGCTGGCCCTATCAATTACAAGGGGAAAAACTGTTCCTATCTGAGCACCTCAAAAACTGATAAAAATTCTTCTCTGATTAAATTCATCTCCACCCTTCACAAGGTTCAAATGGCCCACAGTTAGCTGACCGTCTTTCACACCATGCTCTGTCTCTAAAAAACTGCCCATTCAGCTCCTGGTAGGCACCATCCACTATCCTCAGGACAATGACCTTGGCCCTAAGGTCTTCCCACCAACACCTCAGGATGCATACTTGTAAGAGTTCCTGTTTTTCCTGTCCAGATGTCTTCCTTGTAAGTGTCATGAAGGCAGCATGGCCCTGGCACTCAGCCTGAAGGCTTCCTAACTGCCTTCCAATCCCAGCAGCAACACAGACTTTGCCTTCCACTGTGCTGTAGTGGTGACTCAGTACCAGGATGTGTCTCTCTCCTCTCTAGATGACTCACACCCATCAATATTCATTAAGCACTCATTTTATGGCAAGCACAACCAATCAGCTACAGGAAGAAAGCTACAGGTACTGCCAAGAGGATCTCAAAAAGTGGAGCTAAGGCAGTCAGGTACACTAATTACATAGGGCATGACACTTGCAACAATCAGGCACACACCAAGTATCGGGGAAGAGAATACTCACTCAAGTGAACCAGAAAGGAAAATCCTCACAGAGGAGGAGATGTTTTCATTTTGAGTCTTCTGTTTCTACACACTGAAACTTTTCCCAGATAGGCTGAATTGACTTGCTAGCAAAAGTTTGAAATCCCATTATTCTGATGGTTAAAACTGGGATATTTCTTGAGTTCTGGCTTTGACACCAACGGGAACAACACAGCAAAAGCTTTGAAAAGCCCACATAAAAAGTAAATGACTTAAAAGTAGTGTAGCAACTGTTAGAGAACAGGGAGGGAGTAAAGAGAGAAAAGAAAATGAGACAGAGAGCACAGATGTGATCAAACTATGTTACACACATATGGGAAGTTGTCTCAATGACTCATTTGATTAGAATGACCTAATTAAAAACTTACTTGTTGTAAAAGAGTAAGGATATATCAATTATCAAAACAAAAAAGTAGCTTTTATAATTCCATGTATCAGGAAGGACAGCCTTAAGAATTGGAGTAGCTGATCTTGGTCTGGCACATCTGTCCTCCCAAACTCAGAAGGTTGAGGCAAGAAGACCAATATGTCCCAGTACAGCCTGAGCTACCTAGTGTGATGCTGTCTCAAAATATTACCGGCTAAGGATGTAACTCATTGTTAGAGAGATTGCCTACTGTGTTGGTTAATTTTCTGTTGCTGTGATAGCGTCAAGGTCAAAGCAGCTTACAGAAGAGTTTATTTGGGCTTCTGGTCCCAGAAGGCTCAGGGTCCATCGTGGCAGAGGGAATGGATGTGACTGGAGCCCCAGCTGAGAGTTCATTCTTGAACCACAAGCAGAAAGCAGAAAGAGTGCACTGGGAATGGCTCAGGATTCTGAAATCTTAAAGCCTGTGCCCTGTAACATACTTCCGTCCACAAAGCCACACCCCAGGAGCATCCTTAAACAGAGCCACCAAATAAAGACAAAGCATTCAAATGTCCACGACTCTTGGTCACATCTCATTTAAAACACCACATTTAAGAATCCCAAGCCCCTAGATTTTGTACAGAGCATGAGGTAAAGAATTGGAGTATAGCTATTAATCTTTTTTCTATATACTTTTCTGCAGTATAACTGAGTCACACAATATATTATATTCACATTTATTTTCTTAATGAATTAAGACTGTCTTCTCTAGTTACTAAAAGTCTAGTTACCATTCTGAATGGCTCAATAAAAACAGTTTAAAAATAATATTCCCTAGAGAGAACACTTTGGCCAGTAGGACAGGTTTTTTTCTGTGCTTGGCTATTTAAGGTTGTTCCTGTCTATAGTTATAAACAAGTCAGCCTTGGATGACCTTAATACAGATGTTGCAAGTAGAAGTGGTCTGATGTAGACCTTTAGAAGAATTCTAAGTCGGTACAGAGACAGGTACAGAGAAACCAGGAACAGCAGCCTGCTTGATCCTAAGGACAGTGGCCTTAGGATCCTGGGACAATCCGGTGAGAACGGGAGAGGCTTCAGCTCCTAGAGAGAAGGGAAAGTTGAGAGGGAAAGTCAGCCAGACAAAGCAGGGACGCAAGCAGGAGGCCACTGCACACTAGGAAAACATTTCAGGTGTGAAGACTTGCCAAAGCCAAGGGAAAGGACCAGCCCAGGGAATTAAAGCATCAAAGATTGCAAGGTGATCAATTTCTGTATGTGGCTCATAATGTCACCTCTTGATTTTGGAATAATGCATTCTGAAGTTCCACTTTCAGTCAGTGCAAATACTGACCATGCACCAAAACTGCAATCCTTTGAGGGCTGGGAGGGGTTCTGTGCTTAAGACCATTGCTGGGCTTGTAGAGGATGTGGATCCATTCCCAGCACCCCACCAGATGGCTCACAACCACCTCTAACCTCAGTCCCAGAGGGTCCAAAGCTCTGATTCTATCTTCTGCAGTATTCTGCATGCACATAGCACACACAGACAAGCAGGCATACAAATGCACACATAAAGTAAAAAATAAGTAAGTTCTTTTAAAATCCACCATCCTTCAAAGTTTAGTATTTTATTTCCTTGACAACTCCTTGGTTTTATGAAACTGGAATGAAATATTTTATAGTTTTTGTTCCAGTTAATGTTAGTCACTTTTCATCTGTGTTTCTGGAGTTGTGGTTTTTGAGTTGTTATTTTGTTTTATTTGTAGAGTTTGGGACAGAATGTTGCACAGGTCAGGCCTGAGCTGCTCCTAGCCCCTTCAGGTTTGTAGCTTAGGCTGGCCTAGAACTCACCACTTTCCTGCCTTCATATGCTTGCTTTTTACATTAAAGGAATTCACTACCACTCTAAGCTGATCTCTCTCTCTCCTCTCTCTCTCTTTCTCTTCTCATTCTCTGTCCCTTCTCTGCACTCTTCTAGTCTTGTAAAGATACAGGAACCATGTGAACCAGCACGTCTGTTGTGGTTTTGATCATGCTCAACACCCCATCACAGGCATACTCAGCTAGCTCTGCTGAGCTCTCTTCCCATCTCCCCATTCCAGGTTATCTTTACAAAACTCTAGAATTCTGTTCCAAAGAAAATCCGGTATATTCACATCAAAAGGAAGAAGGCTTTGTGCCAGGCATCGTATTTGGCATTCTAGAGTAAAAAGAAAAGACACCAGTTACCTGTTCACACCCTGTAGAGCACCAGACTAGTCAGACACAGACACACAAAATGAGCACACAGTATGCTATGTTAAAGATGTAGATGAGGAACCACCCAGAGGAGAGGATCAAGATATTGGAACAAAGAAGGAGGTAGAAGTTGATGAATTCTAGGGGTGGCATATTGAGGCCTGGTGCTCAGGCAGATAGGAACCTAACCTGCTGTGTAGGGCTGTGCACATCAGATCGTGCACATACAAGTTACATCCCTCATTTCTTCTCCCCACCCCCGCTATATCTCTCTCATTCAGGTCGAGGTGGATCCCTTTCACAGATACCAGTTGGCAGATTCTCTTCTCCACTCTTGAGATCACAGGAAGCCTGGAGGAGCTGGACCTAAGTGGAAACCCAATGAGCTACTTGTCACTGTGGAGACTTTGTAGGACCCTGAGATGCCCTGGATGTCGCCTAAAGAGATTGTGGTGAGTCGGGCCTTGATTCTTCCCTGAAGCCCAGATGGATGGAATGGAGACCAAATGCAAAACTTGAGTCTAGGATGAGGCCTGGTATTCATCAGATATTCGCCAAGCTTTCTTGACCACCCCTGTGACAGATGCCAGATTAGCTATGATAAACAAATGGGGCTCTGTTCTTAGAGATCATGAGAAACTGACATGCAGCAAGGAACCTCACTACCAACCAACCCATGAGGTCACCAGTGCAGCAAACTTTCTGAGAAAGGGATTAGGAGACACAGAACACAGAGACAAAGTGAAGCAGGAGGAGAGAAAACTCCAGGCCCAAGGGATGTCAGCCCCCATTTCCTCCTGCTCTCTGCCCTTGCAAACACTTCCTACTCTATTTCTATAGACTCCATCTTTACTAAGATTTCACATGAGAAGTGAGATTCTGTCCTGGTCTATGGCTGGTGAATGTCACTTCCGATGGCTCTTGAAACAGACCAGTGAACTATTAGACATAAAGCAAAGGATAACCAGCCTACAGCCCACAGCCTCAGAGAACCTAGACAATAAAGCAGACCCAAAGAGAGACATACTTAGGAAGGAGAAAAAAGACAAGATCTCCTGGGTAAACTGGAAGTGTGGGGGAGGCATGGGGATGGTAGAAGGGGAGAGGGGAGAAAGAAGGAGAGTGGGAAAAATGTCTAGCTTAATTTTAAAATGTTAAAACTGTTAAAAAATGAAGTAGAGTAGGTCTGAGGCAGAAACCTCCACAGGAGCAACCACCAAGGGAACAGGCTCAAGTCACAGATCTCTGCGGGACTGGGCCCGAGTCAGGGACCTCTGAGGGAGCAGGCCTGAGTCAGTGACCTCCATCTGAGCAGGCCCAAGACAGCAACCTCCACAGGAATGGGTACAAGGGAGAAACCGCCCAGGGAGCAGGCCAAAGACAGGGACCTTTGTGGGACCTGGCCTGACCCAGGGACCCCTGAAAAAAGAAGCTGAGCCAGTCACCTCCCTGGGAGCAGACATGAACAAACTCTGGGATTTCAGAGGGACCCCTGGGAGCACTGAGCAACCTCCAGGAACATCAAGTGACCTCTGGGGTGACTAGAACCGTGGCCCTGACTACACCACGAGGAGCCACCATCTAAACCTTGGGTCCACTAGCACCTGGAAGACTGATTATCAGAGACACAGACAACCCCAGTTACACCAATCAGTGGAAAAGATGGGTAGACAAGGTAAGAACACACTCAACACCACAGAGAGCAACACAACACCAACAAAAACCAGTGGCTCTACAACTGCAAGGCAGGAACACCCCAATATAGATGAAGCAGAAGAAAATGGCCTACAAAATAACTTTAGGAGAATGTTTGAGACCCTTAAAGAGGAAATTAAAAATTCCCTCAAAGAAATGGAGGAAATGACAAACAAAAAAATGGAAGAAATCAACAAATCCCTTAAAGAAAATTAAGAAAAAGCAATCGAACAGATGAAAGAAACGATTCAAGACTCGAAAACTGAAATGGAAACAAAAAGGAAACACAAACCAAAGGAATTTTGGAAACAGAAAATATGAAAAAATGATCAGGAACCACAAATGTGAGAAAAGGGGTAGAGTCAGGAAGACTCCAAAAGTCGCCAGAGAAGCAAGATGTGAAGTAACAAGCCACGAGCCTTATTGTAAAATATAGAATAATAAAAATGGTTTAAGTGGTAAGACCTAGTTAATAGTAAGCCTGAGTTAATAGACCAAACAGTTTTTAATTAATATTAAGCCTCAGAGTGGTTATTAGGGAACTGGTGTGCAGGAGAGAAGCCTCAAGTTGCAGGTATTTAAGCTGTAAAGAAAAAAAGATGGAATATCATGAGAAGAGCATCTTTAGAGAAACATCTTAAGAGACTATAGAAAGGAAACCATCAGGAAAGTGTATAAGTGTCTCTTTCCCCCAAACCCTTCAGAGAGAAAAGTCTTTGTGCATTGACTCATGGATTTTTTTCCAATACCCTGGGCAGCCTAGGAGTTGATTCTTCTCTAGACTGCAGTATAGTGTCCCACAGGGTGTGAACAGGTGGCTAGTATCTTTTCTTTTTAATCTAGAGTACTCAGCACAGGCCCTGGGACAAAGGGGGGACCTTAGTATTTCAGACAGCCTCTTCCATTTGATGTGAATGTACCTGCTTTCATTTGGAGCAGAATTCTAGAGTCTCATAAAGGAAAACTGGAAAGAGGAGATGGGAAGAGAGATAAGGAGAGGTGGTTGAGAATGATTCTGTGGTGGGAGGCTGAGCATGGGCATAAACTCTACAGATGTGCTGGTTCACATGTCACCATATCTTTCCAAAAGAAGGGGGAAAAGAGAGATAGACAGACAGACAGACTGACTGACAGGAAGATAGATAGAGGCGGGGAGAGACAGAAACACACAAAGCCATAAATTTATAGACACACACAGAGAAACAGAGAGACAAGCAAAGAGAAAGAGATAGAAGGGGACAGAATATATATCACCCTGAATGGTAAGGCATTCCTTTAATGTCAGTAACCAATCATGCAAAGGAGAACCATGAATTTTGAACCAGCCTAAGTTACAAACTGCAAGGAGCTGCGAGTAACTAAGGATCTAGTATGTGCAGAATTTCATCAATAACACTTTAAACTAAACAAGGCAACAAACTCAAAATAAAACCAGTCTCAAAACACAGATTAAAGATGGCCGACTTGACTGAAGCAGAAAGTATAGGATGTTTTCTTTTGCTTTTATAAAACCAAAGAATGTTAAGAAAACAAAATACTAAAATTTAAGGGATTGTGTTTTTTAAAAAGTTTAATGAATTAATTAATTTTGATTTTTGAGACAGAATTTTTCTATGTAAATAGCTGTCCTGGAATTCCCTTTGTAGACCAAGCAGATCTTGAACTCCCAAGAGATCCTCTTTCCTCTGTCATCCAAGTGCAGGAAATAAAGGCGTGCATCACCACTGCCCAGCTATTTATATTTTACTTTAGGTAATTGAATGTAAATGACCTCCAAAATCTCATAGGGAGTGGCACTATTAAAAGGTGTGGCTTTGTTTGAGTGTGTGCTATATTGTTCGAGAAAGTGTGTCACTGTGGGGGCAGGTATCCTTGGCTCAGGATACCCCTGAAGGTGTCAGTCGACTTGCTGTAACCAGCATATAAAAATATAGCCAGCACCACATCTGCCTGCACACTCCATCCCCACCATGATGATAATGAACTGAACCTCTAAAATTGCTAGCAATCCTTCTGTATTAAATGTTTTCCTTATTAGAGTTGCCATGGTCTGGATGCAAGCCCAGAGTACTATGACCAGCAAAGCTTTCAATCACCATCAATGGAGAAAACAAGGCATTCCATGAGAAAACTATATTTAAACAATACCTATCCACAAATCCAGCCCTACAGAAAGAACTAGAAGAAAAAATCCAACCCTAGGAAGCTAACTTCACACACAAAAACACAGGCAACAGATAACCTCACACCAGCAATCTCCAAAGAAGGTAAACAGAAAACATTAAACCAAATGGAGAAAAACTCAAAGAAATCCCACTGAAATAAGGAAAAAGACAAGGTGTCCACTCTCTCCGTGTCTATTAAATGTAGACCTTGAGGTTCTAGCTAGAACAATAAGACACCAAAAAGAGATCAACGGAATACAAATCAGAAAAGAAGTCAAACACTCACGTTTTGCTGATGATATGATAGTTTACATAAGCGACCCCAAAAATTCTACCAAGGAGCTTCAACCACTCATAAACACCTTCAGTAATGTAGCAGGATACAAGATTACATAGAAAAAAAGATCAATAGCCCTCCTTTACACAGATGATAAACGGGCTGAGAAAGAAATCAGAGAAACATTACCCTTGCCAATAGCCACAAATAGCATAAAATATTTTGTAGTGACTCTAACCAAACAAGTAGAAGACCTGTATGACAAGAACTTTAAATCTTTGAAGAAAGAAATTGAAGAAGACACCAGAAAATGGAAAGATCTTCCATGCTTTTGGGTAGGTAGAATTAACATAATAAAAAAGCAATCTTACCAAAAACAATCTACAGATTCAATATAATGCCCAGCAAAATTCTTCACAGACCTCGAAAGAACGGTACTAAACTTCATATGGAAAAACAAGAAACCCAGGATAGCCCAAAGAATCCTGCATGATACAGGAACTTCTAGAGGCATCATAGTCCCTGACTTCAAACTCTACTACAGAGCTACAGTAATGAAAACAGCCTGGTATTGGCAGAAAAACAGATGCAAGGACCAATGGAACTAAACTGAAGACCCGGATATTAACCCACACACCTTCGAACACCCACCTGATTTTTGAAAAAGAAGCAAAAAATACCAAATAGGAAAAAAAGAAAGCATATTTAACAAATGATGCTGGCATAACTGGATATCAACATGTAGAAGAATGAAAATAGATCCATATCTATCGCCATGTACAAAACTCACCCAAATGGATCAAAGACCTCAACATAAAACCAATCACACTGAACCTCATAGAAGAGAAAATGGAAATTACACTTAACTCATTGGCACAGGAGACCTCTTCCTAAATATAAACCCAGTAGCACAGACACTGAGAAAAACAATTAATAAATGAAACCTCTTGAAACTGAGAAGCTTCTGTTAAAAAAAAAAAACATAGTCAACAAGACAGAACGGCAGCTTACAGTACGAGAAAAGACCTTCATCAACCCCACATCAAACAGAGGTCTTATCTTTAAAATATGCAAGAACCCAAGAAATGGGTCATCAAAAGAACACATAATCCAATAAAAAAAGTGGGGTACAGACCTAAACAGAGAACTCTCAACAGAGGAATCTGAAATGGCTGAAAGACACTTAAGGAAATGCTCAACATCCTTAGCCATCAGAGAAATGCAAACCAAAACAACTCTGAGATTCCATCTTACACCTGAAAGAAGGGCCAAGATCAAAAACACTAATGACAACTTATGCTGGAGAGGATGTGGAGTAAAGGGAACACTTCTCCATTGTTTGTGGGAGTGCAAACAGGTACAGCCACTTTGGATATCAATCAATTTGGTGTTTTCTTAGAAAATTAGGAAACGACCTTCCTCAAGACCCAGCAATGCCACTTTTGGATATATATCTAAAGGATGCTCAATCGTACCACAAAGACATGTGTTCAACTATGTTCATAGCAGAATTGTTTGTCATAACCAGATCCTGGAAACAACCTAAATGTCCCTCGACCAAAGAATGGGTAAGGAAAAGGAAAACGTGGTGCATTTACATAATTGGATACTACACTGCAGAAAAAAATAATGAGATCCTGAATTTTGTGGATGAATCTAGAAAACATCATATTGAATGAGATAACCCAGACTGAGAAGATAAATATAATATGTACTCACTCATAAGTGGCTTTTAGACATAAAACAAAGAAAAACCAGCCTACAATTCACAATCCCAGATGACCTAGATAACAAAGAGGACCCTAAGACAGATATACATAGATCTATTGTACATGGGAAGTGAAAAAAGACAAGATCTCCTGAGTAAACTGGGAGCATGGGGATCATGAGAGAGGGTAGAAGTGAAGAGGAGAGGAAGGAACAGGAGTAGAGGTGTGTGTGTGTGTGTATATATATATATATATATATATATATATATATATATATATATATATATCAATAAAAACAATTTAAAAATGAAATATATCGGTGAGCTGTCCTGGGCCTTGTGGAGCTCTGCCATGGCCAGTCACAGCAGAGCAGTGGTCCCCAAACTGTATTACATTGCTCCTGCTGCTCAGCTGTGGGAAACATGGAATTACACACCCAGAGTAGATAGGGCACTCCAGAGAGCTAAGCACTGCTAACACAGCATGCTAGGGCTCACAAAGGGAGAGTTAAGCTCAGTTCCCGAGAGCAGTGAGCCCTGGAGAAGCTGATGGTGAGCATCTCCCATGCAGGCTTGTCAACTGTGGCCTCACATCCAGCCACTGTGAGGACCTGGCCTCAGTGCTCAGTGCCAGCTCCAGCCTGACTGAGCTAGACCTGCAGCTGAATGACCTGGGAGACCTTGGTGTGAGGCAGCTGTGTAAGGGGCTCAGGAATCCTGCCTGCAACATCACAATCCTGCGGTAAGTAAGACCCCAGTATTCCCTCTGGGCAGAAGGCAGGGGAAAGGACACAGGTGCATTACTAGATGACAAGACATAGAAAAGAAAAGAGACAGATAGTGCACAGTCAGCCTGGCTCCTGTCCAGCTGTGTCACTTACACCCGTGACTAGGGCAAGTGACATTCTTCTCTAAAACTCAGTTTCCTCTCCTATTAAATGGAATGTCATACCCACCTCATGGATTGCAATGACACAAAATGTGCATATGTAAAAAAGAAGATAATACCAGGTAGGTAGCTGGGCACAGTGGAATCATATGTATTAGCAAGGCTGTATATCCTGAAAGACTCCCAGGTTTGCCTTACTCCAGGACAGTGCTTCAATCACTTATTCATTCAAGGATCCATGCATGCATCCTTATCAGGCCTTACATAAGTAAGCATTGCTCCAGACCCTAGGGATACAATCACAAACATACAAGGCTCTGTCCTGATGAAGCTGGGTGGAAAGAGACAGACATAGATCACCCATCAGCACATGACTCTGTGTTGACAGGCTCTGCTGAATGCCATGGAGTCACAGTATTGTGAGATTGTCATGCTGTGAGAGGTGCAACTTTATTGAATGCCCACGAGGGTTGTCTGAGGCCTGAAGGAGAAATAGGGCTTGGTTGGGCCAAGCTGAGGCCAGGGCCCAGACAAAACAGAGTTGGAGAAAACTCTGGAAAAGAAAGAGCCTGGAGGCCTCCTTTAACTACAGGAGCCTGAGATGGTCCTCTGTACTGGAAATGGTGCCATTCTGCCTTCACTAGAGTTTCACACAAACTCGGCAAGTCCCCAAACTACAGCCCTGGAGACCCTCGTCCTCCACTCAGCCCCTTCATGCTGTCTCTAAGCTTCTCCCTCTCCTGAACCTCCACCTCCCCAGCACAAGCCACAAACAGTTTCTGGAGGGTGCTGGCCAGTGCCATTCATGGGCTCAGAGAACCACAGAGGCTCCGATCCCTGTACCCAGAGTCTTCTGGTTCTTCCAGCCAACAGGAGAAGGCCAGCAGTCCTGTTCCCTGGGACTCCCATCTGTCAGGTCTTCTGCTCCAACTCTATTATTTTTTATATTATTGTTGTTATTGTTATGTTAATTATGTGTTTGTTTATGTCGGTGGCTCTCAACCTTCCTAACGCTGTAATACAGCTTCTTATGTTTTGGTGACCCAAAACCATAAAAATTTTTCTTCATTACTTCATAAGTGTAATTTTGCTACTGTTCTGAATTGCAATAAATATCTGATATTTCCAGTAGTCTAGGCAACTTCTGTGAGAGGATTATTCAACACCCCCACACACAAGTCACAACACACAGTCTGAGAACCGCTGTTATATGTGGGTGCAGGTGCCCCCAGAGACCAGAGGAGTCAAAATCTCCCAGAACTGGAGCTGCATGAAGTGGGTTCTGGGAATTGAACTCAGGTCCTCTAAAGAAGTAGTACGGGCTCTTACCCACTGAGCCTTCTCTCCAGCTCTCTGGTTCAATTTTGAGCACACAGGAGCAGCTGGACAGTGAAGAGTCTTCCTCCACTTCTCTGGGAACTGAAACCTACACAGCTGCTTGTCACCTTTGTTTCCCCAGCCTGTTTTCAACCCTGTGAGAAACCTTGTTTCTCACAGTGCTTCACAATAACACAGTGGTCTGTGTTATTGACTGAGGATGTGGAAACCCAGAGAGGGACACTACCCTAATTCCCAGAAATCCTGCAACTTGAAGACCATAAGAATGCAACTAGCAGAACTCAGGCTGTGGCTGCTGTGTAAGGACAAGGCTTCCTTCCTCAGCACAAAAGGAAATGGGGAGGGAGGCAAGAAGGGAACCAAGGTTCTTTCCATCCAGGTGAACACCCATGATCCCAGCACTGGATGCTTACTTTGAAGAGCTGCCAAGAATCCCTTTGGGGATATGACCATCGCATCCAGTCACTGAGAATTCTGATGACTACTGTGCTGGTCTTTGCCAAATTAGTCCCCTCATCTATGGCCATGTCCCCCTCTCTGAGACAGTCTGTTTCCAATGACTGGTATGTGGGGGAGGTATATACGTGTATAAGTGGTAAGACCCTACTTCAGCTCTTCAAAGTTCCAAAGGTCCTCATCCTGAATTCAGCTCTCCTTGCACACTGACCAACCCCACTGAGACTGTGTCATGGACGCACCTCCCTCTGCTCAATCTGCTGCTCTCCTGGATTTCACTCAAAAATAAGCTTACATAAGGCTCCTCATTGGCTCTACGGGCAACAGAGTCCAGGGTCCTGGACTCTGAGGCCTCATGATACTGTGGTGGATCCCACAAGAAATAGCCTCCTCTTTTGCTTGCAGGCTGGACCTGGCTTCTCTCAGTGACCAGGTGATGACAGAGCTCAGGCTCCTAGAGGCAAAGAATCCATGGCTGCTCATCTCCAGCATATGGTAAGGAGTAGACACAGAACTCCTACTGGTCAACCCAGGCCCTATGTGCCTGCTCCAGTGTTGAGAGGTAGGAAAACTGTCCTGAGGTGGTGGGAAAGACAAACAGAGCCAGGAAGAAATCAGGAACCAAATGAGGTATGAGTAGTGTGTGTGTGTGTGTGTGTGTGTGTGTGTGTGTGTGTGCTACAGTTGTGTGAGTTTAAAAAAATAGAATTATATAACATGCCTTCTTAATTTCTTCAATCAGGATATAATAATATACAAAGCTGAGGGAGTGGTGAGTCCTCAAGCCCTACAAGTGTGATGACAGTAGGTAATAGTAGCCAGCAGTGAACCCAGGGCACAGGAACAATGACAGCAGTCACCACACTGAGGAGAGAAAGACACAGACAGAAAGACTCTCAGAAAAAAAAATATGTATATCACTATCCCAATCCCAATATTCAGACACATGTGTGTGCGCGCACGCACACACACACACACACACACACACACACACACACACACACACTGTACTATGGGAGGGAGGGGAAGCCATAGGACAGGAGAGACTCATCCACTCGAAAGACTGCTGAAGCCCCACATTCTCCCAGTTTAGTCAATCTCTGTTCCCAAGGTCCCAGCTGCTATGACACACATGAAATGGAGGGGGACTAAAGGCTTAGAGGGTCAGACATTCATTGAACAGACATTCCTGTAGACCTACTGCACATCATGCACTATTTCAGGATCTGAGGGTAGATCAGTGAGTAAGGTAGATATGAACTCTGTCTAGAAGGAAGGAGACGCTTGTTCTCCCGCAGTCCACACAATTGTACCTGGGACTTTATGAGGGCCATGGTGGTCCTTATGACCTCATTCAAAACTGAAATGAGCAGAAGTGAACTCTCAAAAATGAGAAATGAGGGATGAGTAAAAAAAGGAAAAAAAATTCATGCAGACATAGAGGGTTTTTTTTTTACTTTTTAAATATATATTTATTAGACCATAAACAAATCACCTCCTACCGCTCAGGCACTGACACACAGGCTTGAGAGGCAATCTCATATACAATAACTTTATTAATCTACCAATCACAAAACCTGTTGAAAAACCACCAAGGTCAATCTTCACAGTCACTCGGGATGGACGGGAATGTGATGAAGGGAAGCATACATAAAGGAAGAAATGAACACTCAGAAAAGTGAACTGATTCCCCAGGTCTCATACAACTAAAAGGTAGAAGGGATCTGAGTCCCTCCCTAACACCAGGACCCCAGGACTCTGCTTTTTAAAATTTTATTGATTTTTATTGAGCTCTACATTTTTCTCTGCTCCCCTCCCTACCTCTCTCCTCCTCTTCAACCCTCTCCCAAGGTCCCCACGCTCCCAATCTACCCAGGAGATCTTGTCTTTTTCTAAGTCCCATGTAGGTTAGATCTATGTATGATTCTCTTAGGGTCCTCATTGTTGTCTAGATTCTCTGGGATTGTGATTTGTAGGCTGGTTTTCATTACTTTATACTTAAAAATCACTTATTAGTGAGTACATGTGATAATTGTCTTTCTGGGTCTGGGTTACCTCACTCAAAATGATGTTTTCTAGCTCCATCCATTTGCCTAAAAAATTCAAGATGCCATTAGTTTTTTTCTTCTGTGTAATACTCCATTGTGTAAATGTACCATATTTTCCTTATCCATTCTTCAGTCAAGGGGCATTTAGATTGTTTCCAGGTTCTGGCTATGACAAACAAAGCTACTATGAACATAGTTGAGCACTTGTGGCACTATTGAATATCCTTTGGATATATACCCAAAAGTGGAATTACTCGAAGAAAGTTGTTTCTTAATTTTCTGAGAAATCACCACACTGACATCCAAAGGGGTTGTACCAGCTTGCATTCCCACCAGCAATGCAGAAGTGTTCCCTTTACCCCACAACCTCTCCAGTTTAAGTTGTCATCAGTGTTTTTGATCTTGGCCATTCTTACAGGTGTAAGATGAATTCTCAGAGTTGTTTTGATTTGCATTTCTCTGATGACTAAGGATGTTGAACATTTCCTTAAGTGTCTTTCAGCCATTTTAGATTCCTCTGTTGAGAGTTCTCTGTTTAGATCTGTACTCCATTTTTTATTGGATTATGTGTTCTTTTGATGGCCAGTTTCTTGAGTTCTTTGTATGTTTGGGAGATCAGATCTCTGTCTGATGTGGAGTTGGTAAAGATCTTTTCCCATTCTGTAGGCTGCCATTTTGTCTTGTTGACCATGTCCTTTGCTTTACAGAAGCTTTTCAGTTTCAGGAGGTTCCATCTATTAATTGTTTCTCTTGGTATCTGTGCTGCTGGGATTATATTTAGAAAGTGGTTCCCTGTGCCAATGTGTTCAATTGTACTTCCCACTTTCTCTTCTATAAGGTTCAGTTTGGCTGGCTTTATGTTGAGGGAGGTCTTTGAACCATTTGATTTGAGTTTTGTGCATGGTGATAGATATTTTCATTCTTCTACATGTTGATATCCAGTTATGCCAGCACCATTTGTTAAATATGCTTTCTTTTTTCCATTTGACATTTTTTGCTTCTTTGTCAAAAATCAGATGTTCAAAGGTGTGTGGATTAATATGTGGGTCTTCTATTCAGTTCCATTGGTCCTCCTGTCTGTTTTTCTGCCAATACCAGGCTGTTTTCATTACTGTAGCTCTGTAGTGGAGTTGAAGTCAGGTATTGTGATGCCTCCAGAAGTTCTTTTATTGTGCAGGATTGTTTTGGCTATCCTGGGTTGTTTGTTTGTTTGTTTGTTTACTTGTCCTTTGATATAAAGTTGAGTACTGTTCTTTTGAGGTCTATGAAGAATTTTGCTGAAATTTTGATGGGAATTATGTTGAATCTGTAGATTGCTTTTGGTAAGATTGCCATTTTTACTATGTTAATTCTACTTATCCAAGAACATAGGAGATTGTTCCAGCTTCTGGTGTCTTCTTCAATTTCTTGCTTCAAAGATTTAAAGTTCTTGTCATACAGGTCTTCCACTTGTTTGGTTAGAGTTACTTCGAGATATTTTATGCTATTTGTGGCTATTGTGAAGGGTGTTGTTTCTCTAATTTCTTTCTCAACCCATTTATCATCTGTGTACAGGAGAGCTACTGATTTTTTTAGTTAATCTTGTATCCTGCTACATTACTGAAAATGTTTATGAGTTGTAGAAGTTCGTTGGTAGAATTTTCGTGGTCACTAATGTAAACTATCATATCATCAGCAAATAGTGAGAGTTTGACTCCTTCTTTTCCAATCTGTATCCCCTTGACCTCCTTTTGTTGTCTTATTGCTCTAGCTAGGGCCTCAAGAACTAATATTGAATAGATATAGAGAGAGTGGACAACCTTGTCTTGTTTCTATTTCAGTGGGATCTCTGGGAGTTTCTCTCCATTTAGTTTGATGTTGCCTGTTGGCTTGCTGTATATTGCCTTTATTATGTTTAGGTATGTTCCTTGTAGTCCTGCTCTCTCCAAGACCTTTGTCATGAAGGGATGTTGTAATTTGTTGAAAGCTTTTTCAGCATCTAATAAGATAATCATGTGGTTTTTATGTTTTAATTTGTTTATATGGTGGATTACATTGACAGATTTTTGTATGTTGAACCATCCCTGCATCTCTAGAATGAAACCTACTTGATCATTGTGGATGGTGGTTCTGATACGTTCTTGGATTTGATTTGCCAATATTTTATTGATTATTTTTGCATTAATGTTCATGAGTGAGATTGGTCTGTAATTGTCTTTCTTAGTAATATCTTCATGTAATTTGGGTATCAGGGTAATTGTAGCCTCATAAAAAGAGTTTGAAAATGTTCCTTCTGTTTCTATTGTGTGGAACAATTTGGAGATTGTTGGTATTAGTTCTTCTTTGAAAGTCTTGTAGAATTCTGAGCTGAAACCTGGGCTTTTTTGGTTGGGAAACTTTTGATGACTGTTTCTATTTCTTCAGCAGTTATAGGTCTATTTAATTTGTTTATTGTTCTTGATTTAATTTTGGTAAGTGGTATTTATCCAGAAAGTTGTTCAATTCCTTTAAGCTTTCCAATTTTGTGGAGTACAGGTTTTTTAAATAAGACCTGATAATTCTCTGGATTTCCTCCATGTCTGTTGTTATGTCCCACTTTTCGTTTCTGATTTTGTAAATTTGGATTCTCTCTCTCTCTCTCTCTCTCTCTCTCTCTCTCTCTCTCTCTCTCTCTGCCTTTTGGTTAGTTTGGATAAAGGTTTGTCAATTTTGTTGATTTTCTCAAAGAACCAACTCTTTGTCTTATTGATTCCTTGTTTAGTTTTCTTTGTTTCTATTTTGTTGATTTCAGCTCTCAATTTGATTATTTCCTGCCTTCTACTTCTCATGGGTGAGTTTACTTCTTTTTGTTCTAAAGGTTTGAAGTGTTCTGTTAATTCACTATTGTGGGATTTTCCCAGCTTCTTTATATAGGCATTTAGTGCTGTGAACTCTCCTCTTAACGCTGCTTTCATTGTGTCCCATAAATTTGGGTATGCTGTGTGGTTAATTTCATTAAATTTTAGGAAGTCTTTAATTTCTCCCTTTCTTCCTTGACCCATTGATGATTCAGGTGAGCATTGTTTAATTTCCATGTATCTGTGGACTTTCTGGAATTAGTGTTGCTGTTGAATTCTAGTTTTAAGTCATGGTGATCTGATAAGATACATTGGGTTATTCCAATTTTTTTGTATTTGTTGAGGTTTGTTTTGTTACCAAGTATGTGGTCAGTTATTGAGAAGGTTCCATGAGATGCTGAGAAGAAGGTATATTCTTTTCTGTTTAGATGGAATATTCCATAGATATCTGTTAAGTTTATTTGAGTCATAACATCTGTTAGTTCTCTCATTTCTTTGTTCATTTTTTGTCTGACTGACCTATCCAGTGGTGAGAGTAAAGTGTTGAAGTCTCCCACTATTAGTGTGGGGGGTTTAATGTTTTACTTAAGCTTTAGAAGTGTTTCTTTTACATATGAGGGTGCCCTTGTATTTGGGGAATAGATGTTCAGTATTGAGATTTCCTCTTGAAAGATTTTTCCTATGACTAATATGAAATGTCCTTCTTTGTCTCTTTTGATTGATTGTAGCTTAAAGTCTATTTTGTTAGAAATTAGGATAGCTACACCCACTTTTTTCAAAGGTCCATTTGATTGGAATATTTTTTCCCAACACTTTACTCTGAGGCAATGTCTGTCTTTGAGACTGAGATGTGTTACTTGTATGTAGAAGAATGATGGACTCTGTTTTTGTATCCAATCTGTTAGCCTGTGTCTTTTTATAGGTGAGTTGAGTCCATTTATATTAAGGGATATTAATGACCAGTGATTGCTATCTTCTGTTAATTTAGTTTTTGTTGTTGGTGATGCTAATTTGTGTGTTTTTCCCTTCTTTGGAATTTGTTGCTGTGTGATCATTTATTGTCTGTGTTTTTGTTGATGTAGCCAACTTCCTTGGGTTGGAGTTTTCCTTCTAGTTCTTTGTATAGGGCTGGGTTTGTGGCTAGGTATTGGTGAAATCTGGTTTGTCAAGGAATATCTTGTTTTGTTCTCCTATGGTGATTGAAAGTTTTGCCAAATATAATAGTCTAGGGTGTCATCCGTGGTCTGTTAATGTCTACATAATGCTTGACCACAACCTTCTGGCTTTTATTGTCTCCAATGAGAAGTCAAGTGTAATTTTGATAGGTCTGCTTTTATACGTTACTTGGCCTTTTTCCTTTACAGCTCTTAATATTCTTTCTTTATTCTGTATGTTTAGTGTTTTGATTATTATGTGGTGAGGGGACCTTTTTTGATCCACTCTGGTTGGTGTTCTATATGCTTCTTGTATCTTCATAAGCATATCTTTCTTCAGGTTTGGAAAATTTTCTCCTATGATTTTGTTACATATGTTTTCTGTACCTGTTCCTTTGGAGTTTGTTGTCTCAGGTCTGCTCTGGCCCAGGTCGCTGGCTCAGTCCTGCCTCTACAAATGACCCTGGTCTGAATCTACTCTTGCTCTCATGGAGATCCATACATAGAGGCTTTAAGAAAGCAGAGAGAATAGCTCCATTGAGGGACAGGAAACCATGTGTGAGACCATCTGCTCTGCCTCACCATCACCAGGAAGCTCCACAGAAATGCAGGTTCTCAGATCCTACTCCATCCCTGCTGACTCAGAATCTCAGGAGGGGCAGCTTCTTTCAGTGAGCTTTCTGATTTAGTCTGTACAGGTGACATTTTTAACACAGTGATTTAAGAGACACTGGTCTAGATTTGAGCAAGAAAGAGTGACATAGGAGGGTCATGAGGTGGACAGGAGCCACAACAAGGTGGCTTCTTTTTCTCTCCAGAGAAAATGAAAGGCAGTCCAGTGCTTCAGTCATGAAGGGGCATCTCCACCCATTTTATATGGTCAGCTACTATGTAGAAAATGAGCAAGAAGGGACCAGATCAGAAGCAGGGACGCCAGCAAGAGGTTCAGAACAATGCTCATTCCATCCTGGGACAAGAATAGAGTACATGGAGGGGGAGAATAGAGAATAGAAAAGAGAGAGATTCAGAAGGTCATGTCTAGGTGATTGGAATTCAGGGTGAATGATTATTTGTTTTGTGCAGCTTTAACACAGTGTCTGACACTGGGCATTTATCATAAAGAGTTGAGATTATTTTTTGCAGTTCTGGATACAGGGAAGGGCAAGATCATGAACTCTACATCTAAAAAATCCTTCTTGTTCCATCTGATTGTGCAACTGGGAGGGCTGAGAGTGAAAGGCCAACGTGACTTTTGTGATTCCTGTCCAGGCACAGGAATCTACTCCTGTCATTAACCCCTTCGTGGCAGCAGAGCACTTGTGACCTCCTTGTGTCTTATCCTTCATTCTGTCACACTGTGACATTGGGGGTTAACTTTCTAATGAGTAAACACTGGGGAACACACTCAAACTAAAGCAAAGAAGGGGTCGAGATGATCCCAGGTCTGGGTCATGGATGCCTAGGAGAATAAGGTCTTCATAGAGTTCTGGCCCAGAGAAGAAGCATATGATTGAGTCACAATTCAAAGACTTAGATTTTATGTGGGGATATCATGTTTCTCCTGACATCTGAGAGAAAGAACATATCTAGGTGTAGGGAGTCACATGTACCCACTAAGGACCCAGATGGAGAAGAAATGGGTGAGACCTCGATCTCAATCAAGCAGCAGAGACTACAGTCAGGTATGTGAAGGGTTCAGACCCAGGGCGTCATGACTGTTGGATGAAGGGGCACCTGCGGGAGGAAGTCGTCATGTTTTTCTTTTTAAAAATTATTTTGTTATCTTTTTAGAATTTTAAACATGAGTAAGAGTATTGTATTTATATCATTTCTACCCCTCTATCTGCCCACTCCAAATCTCCTTGTGACCGCCCACAGCCAACACTTCTGGATCAATAGGAAGTGAAACACAACAACTGGATTGGGAGCAGATATGGGGTGCTATGGTTGCTCAAAATGCAAGTAGCAGTAGGAAAACAATACTATAGGTTTGTGTGTATACATGTGTGTGTATGTAGATAGGTAGATAGATAGGTAGATAGATAGATAGACAGACAGACTGACAGACAGACAGACAGATAACATGCAGGTAAACTCGGGAAGTGGTCTGGTCAACCCGGAGAAGAGAGCTGAGGAGACACAGAGTGAGCAGTGCCTGGCCTCTTCTAGAGGAGGAATACTTGCACAACCGGAGCCCTTCCATCCATCTTCCCCTACCTCTCCAGGACACAAACACATGAAGCCACAGGGGACTGACGATGACTTCTGGGGTCCTACAGGGCCTGTGACTACTGAGGTGATTGACGGAGAGAGGAACCTGTACCGGTGAGTGAGTTCTGCCTGGCAAAGGTTGGCTTTCCCCAGCACACTTTCCACAAGGGATCCCCCACAGATAGCATCCACCTAGTCTCTACTGTGTCTCCTCCTCACCTCACCAACCCAGGAGGCAAGGCTAGGACTGGAATAAGAAGTTTGGGTTGTTATTTTAAGAAGTGGGATTTTTTTCGTAAAATTTTCAGCTATTTACAAAACGGGAGAGCACAAGAACATCCCTGTCCAGTTACTCAGTTCCAGCAGCCATTTTTCCAAGTTCATTTCAACTGCTCACATTCCCCCTCTGTCATCACTGTCACAGTAGTGTGAGTCCAGGACATCAGGTGATTTAAACATAAAGATTTCACTAAAACCTCCCACAGTTAAGACAGGACCTTGTCTTCCATGACCTAGCACACCATTACCACATCAGCAGAGCTGATGTGGGTCCTTCATTCCATCTAAACATCTGTGCTCAACTTTGCTTATTATCTTAATTGTGGTTTTTCTGCAGATTATTTTATTCATGTTTTAATGAGTATCAGCTCCCTCTTTATATTTGGGTTCTCTTGTCTCTTAACTTCAGGAACATAAAGTCTAAAAACTGAAGATGAACCTCAGTGGTAGAACCTTTGTCGAGTGTCCAAGGTCCTAGCTGGATCCCCAGAAACTTAACACACATGCTCGCTCTCTCTCTCTCTCTCTCTCTCTCTCTCTCTCTCTCTCTCATATGCACGCACGCACGCGCACACACACACACACACACACACACACACACACACAGAGAGAGAGAGAGAGAGAGAGAGAGAGAGAGAGAGAGAGCTAGTTCATCATCGCAGGAATATCTAACTGCTGCAGGTATGTGTTACTTGTAGGTTTGCCTTAGATCCATCAGTACTTACAGGTCTATAAGATGATGTCATCATCCCTCTGTACAGATGAGAATTTGGGGGTTAAGTGACTTAGTCAGGAATCCACCTACAGCTAAAAGAAACAGAACTCAGAGCCATCTGGCTCAAGTCTGCAGTGTCCCCAGCCCTGCACTGGGTCTACATCCAGCAGATGAGCAGTATTGATGTTCACTGGTGTCTGCCTCTCCCTCTTCCAGAGTTCAGTTCCCTATGCCTGGTTCCTACCACTGTCCCAACACAGGACTCCACTTTGTGGTGACGAGGGCCGTGACCATCGAGATTGGATTCTGTGCCTGGAGCCAACACCTGGACAAGATTCACTTGCAGTACATATACATGGTGGCTGGGCCTCTGTTTGATATCAAGGCTGAGCGGGGAGCTGTGGCTGCTGTGCACCTCCCTCACTTTGTGGATCTCCAAGGTAACCAAGGGAAGCATAAAGAGTTGGGTGGAGGTGATGGGAGGACCTGCCATGTCCTAAAGCAGAGCACAGGGTGATGGTGACGAGGAAAGGCCTATGGCTTCCTTAGTGAGGCAGAGCAGACTGTGAAGGTGGACACTGAGTTGTTTTCTCATCCCCTCTTTGAAGCACGTGTCTCCCAGCCTTATGACTTTCTTTCTGCTTTACCTGAAGGAGTCCCTGAGTGGAAAGTGATGTCCTCAGTAGCAATATTTGCTAGTGATTATTAAATGTTCTTTACACATCTAGTCCCTCGGGGGCCCAGCACAGAATTGAGAATAACTGAGAAATTTAAAGAGATTGTTGCAGTGTAAGAGTAAGAAAACTAACAAGAATCATTTGGTATTCAGGGTCTACCAACACTGTGAGCCATTACACTGCTACAGGCAGGGAGAAAATGATGTCACCAGATTCCACTTGAGAACAGGAAAAGCAAAAGAAGGATTTCCTAAGAGAGGAACTCATAAAGTGTCCCAACCTCCATGATTTCCAAAGAATCTTTCTGAAGATTTTATTTTTATTTTTATTCATTCTTCTCTCATAGCATACATCTCAAACTGCAGCCTCCCTCTCTCTGCTCCACACAGTTTGCCCTCCCCTCTGTTTCTCTTCAGAAAATAGCCAGGGTCAAAGTGATATCAACCAAAGACAGCATAAAAGTTGCAGTAAGACTAAGCACAAACCCTCATATCAAAGGTAGATATGGCAATCTGGTAAGAAGAAAATAGTCCTAAGTACAGAAAAAAAAGAGTCAGAGACAGCCCACTCCCACTGTTAAGAGTACCACAAGAACACCAAGCTAAACAACTACAATATGTGACCAAAAAGAACATTGTTTTAATATATACAATGCTCTCAGTGACAGATCTCATTTTTTAAAAAAAAAAAGCCATTACTGTATGTCTGTAACCAAGAACTCCTAGGGCTGAGGCAGGAGAATTTAGAATTCAAGAGCAGCCTAGTCTACACAGCCAGACTATGCCTATGAAAGAAAAAAGTAACAACATCAAGGAACAAGGTGTTGTACAGTGGCTACTGAGACCAACTTTCTCCCCTGCTTCAAGGAGCACAGACATCTGCTCCCCCATAGAGACCAGGAGAACCCAGCTCACTGCAGATGGAGATGGTGTTTGTTCATGGTGATGAAGATGAGGAGTAGGTCCAAGGAGGAAGACCTGACAGTTGAAGAAGTCATAAAAACTAAAATAGAAATGCAGACAGTTCCAGCTGATGTAAGAGTCATGAATAGAAAGCAAAGTATCCCTCAGACTAAAAATATTCTCATTTAATGCCACGCCCCAAGAAGAAAACCAATGAAGATGAAGTAAACAAGCAGGACTCAGTTGAAAAGAACTCACAAAACAAAGAAAGACAATAGTTACATTCATAAATTCATGAGGTCTTACACTCCAGACCCTGACACAGGAGCACTGCTACCCGGATGGTGGCTTCCCAGTGTGCCTAAAGATGCCAGTCCAGCAGGTCCTCACAGAGCTCCTGGTCTCTCTAAGAACAACACCTCGCCAGTCACCACTGAAGCTCTTCCCTGAAAGTCAATGCCTTTTCTATTTCCTACCCCCACTCTCAGATCAAAAAACTACACAGTTGGAAAAGTGTATATATATATTCAGATATATATGAATGATTCTGTTAAAGCTTATAGAAGAACAATATACACTGGAGGACAGTTACAGGGTCAGGTGGTGGCACATACCTGTGATCCCAGAGTTCTGAAGGCTGGGCAAGAGTAGGGTGACTTCTACCTAGAGATACATGGTGAATCCCTGTATCCAAATCCCAAAAGAAGAAAAGAAATAGAAAAACTTATCAAGCCATCTCAGATGCCTCAGGAAATTTCTGGTCTTAGCAAAGCAGGTCTATCCCCCCACATTCCCCTCAAGTCCTGAGAAGGTCACGACTAGAGTTTACCCTAGCAAGAAGGGAAGTTGGCGAGGTACAGCATCTTCTGGGATTCTGTGAAAATTTGCACAACACAAAGCATAGGCAAGTCAAGGGTCTGGTGCTGGGGCTGAAGGTGACCTAGAGAAAGTTAGGATTTCAAGGCCACAATCTGTCACACATAAGGCATTTCAGTGCAATGTGGTTCTCTATTTCACCCTAATAAGTAAAACTATTAGCTAGTATGTCGTTGATGGAAATCCTAAACTGTATAACCTTATGCTGGAGCAATTTTCTTGTCTTATTTCTTAATAATTATTGATTCCAAGCAGTCACCCATGAAAAATAGAAATGCTCCCTGCTAAACAATACACAGTGCAATGCTGTTTGTCATGGTGCAAGTTGAAGCAAACTCAGTGCTGAAAGGACAGGCAAATGGTGGGTTGCAGAGTGGTGTCTCCATTAGCAAGGGTCACATCAAGGTGACAAGTGAGATTCAACATCATGATTCTATCTAGTGTCAACTTGACACCCAACACATCACTCTAATTCATAACTTTCTACCTCATGTCTCTAAAGTTTCAGCTTTGTCTCATAATGCAAAATACAATTTCAAAGGTCCCCATAGTCCTTAATAATTCCAACAGTCTAAATGTTCATAAAGACTATCTCTTATCAGATATTCAAGGCGATGTCTTAAATATAAGCTTTTATAAAATAAAAAAACAAGATACATTCTTTCAACATACAATGGCACAGAATAAACACTGCCATTCAAAAATAGAAGAATCAGGAAATCAAATGACCAGACCACAACAAGACAAAACTCTGTCAGCATAAACACCGAATTCTACAGCCTCATGTCTGGCTATTAAACTCATGATGTCATTCACTGGACTCCAAACAACTCCACCCCTCCAGTTCTATCACATAAAACATAAACAGCCTCTCCTTAGACCATCTCTCTACTCCTTGCCTAAAACTTTATTTAGCAGAAAATATGTGGGCCTGGCTTCTACAATACCCAAGGATTTCCATTCCACCTTAGAATTCACTTTCAAAGGTCCATGGAATGAGCTCTCAAGCTTGCAGAATGTTTGATACAAGTGCATTGACTTTCATCACAGCTTTTATCTGAAACTGTGCAGTATGACTCGGTGATCCATCAATCTAGCATCTTTCAACTCAAAAAAAAAAAAACACTACAGGATGACACTGCCAAGTTCTCTTGATAGCTTGAGATGTGGCCTGGCTCTGCTCCCTGGATGATAGCTATAAGATGTCCTGACCATGGAAAACACTTCCACGGGCATTTGCATTTGTGGAACAGGGAGCACCATAACTAAAGGCTTTTGTGCCTTTAAAGGAATTTGGATCTTTACAACATGAGCCTACAAAGAGTGAGATTTTGTCCTCAGGACACCTTTCCCCTTGTCACCGTGCAGGGCAGCTTTCCCTTCAGTGATACTGATCCCTAAGAATTACAGCTGATTTTGTATAATTAATTCTGAGTGTTTTCTGTCTTGAAACTTCTCCTGCCAAATTAGTCCCTTATGTTTAAATTAATCTTCACATATTCGTGACATTAACCCAATAAATCTAGATTCTTGGCTAAACTACTGGTTGAATGGATCCTTTTACCGTTCCCAATAGAAACCTTGCTACTCTCTGCAACAGTAGGCTGGCCTCCACTGTCTCTCTCAGCAATCTTGTCTTCCTGCTTCCACCCAAATAGCCCCATAAGCTCTGTCATCAGCATGGAAGTGAGTTCCTAGTCCTTGCTACAAAATTCTTTCACATTCCAGCCATAAAATAGTTCCAGAGGCTTAAGAACCACATGATTGTGTTTATTACAGCAAAAGTCTGAGTCCTGATATCAATATTCTGTCAAGGTTAACTTTTCTTATAACTCTCACAAAATACTTGACCAAAGAAGCTTAAGAAAGAAAGGATTTATTTTCCTCCCAGTCCAGAGGAACCATTCATTATGACATGGGAGTCTGAGAACACAGAGCTTGTGGCACCTGGTAAGCCTGTGTGGACAGAGCAAGCAGAGGACAGTGAATGCTCATGCTCTCGTGACCATCTCCATTTTACACAGCCCTGGGTCCTAGTCCTCAGAATAGTATACACAGTGCATAGGTCTTCCGTACTCAATTGTTCCAATCAAGATGATCTCCTCCTCTCATACCCTGAGGCCTACATCCAAGATGATGCTATATTTCATCAGGTTCACACTTGACATTAATCATTCCAGGGATCTATCCAGTTTTTCTTCCGTGTAAAAAGATACCCTTGGGTCTCTTTAATAACAGCAAAACTCTATTCTGCAACTCAGAATTTAGAAAACACTGCAAATCCCAAGACAATGAAGCTGGTGACGGCAGCACCTCAAAGAACTTGCTGATTTTCAAGTTTCTGACAGAGGTGTCTGAGGCTGTGTTCTTTACAGCATCCGTGAATGAGAAAATCAAGAACTTCCACTCCACTGTGAATGCTCCACTATCAACTAGACAGGGTCAAAGGTAAACTGCCTCCAAAGGGGTCAGTCTGCAGGAGTCACAACTGGCAGCAGCTTACACTCCCCTCCCTGGCACGGTGAATGGATAATGAAGAAACAGCTGATAGTTTTGCTGTGTTTTCACTGGGAGTTAATGAATAAAACTTAAATTTTGATCATAGTTTTTCTCTAAGCATCAAAAAGTAAATACAAGTGAAATATAAATCACAACCACAGAAATTTACAGAAGAAAGATTTTATTGGGTCTTACAGTTTCAGAGGGTGAGTCCATGACCATCAGGGCAGGAAGCATGGCAGAAAGGGGGCAGGCTTGGCAATAGAGCAGTAACTGAGAACGTACATATTGTAAAGGAGGAGAAAGAAAGGAAATTGAAAACAGCACAAGCTTTTGAAATGTCTAAGCCCACCTCAGTGGCACATCTTCTCCAACAAGTGCATACCTCTTACTCCTTCCCAAACAATTGCACCAACTATGGTAGCCATTTTCATTCAAACCACCACAATCATTCTAAGTCCTAGGGTGCCATTTTTCTAGCCAAGAATGGCTCAACAGGAAAAACTATATATATATATATCTTTAAATCTGTTCTTTCACAGAGGGACAGGTGGACATCTCCTCGTTCCGTGTGGCCCACTTTCAAGAACATGGGATGGTCCTAGAAACTCCAGCCAGAGTGGAACGGCATTACGCAGTGCTGGAAAACCCAAGCTTCTCCCCAGTGGGAGTTCTAATGAGAATGATCCCTGGCTTTGTACGCTTCATCCCCATCACTTCCATCACACTGATCTACTATCACCTCAATCCCAAGGATGTGACATTTCACCTCTACCTGGTCCCCAATGACTGCACCATTCGGAAGGTGACACTGAGGACCACAATAGTGAGGCCAGGGTGGGTTGGCAGAAAGCATGAAATGTAGACAGTGAGCCCCTTGGAGAGATTCTTAACTGGTAGTGGGATTGCAGTTCTATAGGGGGAAAGTGTGTGTGTGTGTGTGTGTGTGTGTGTGTGTGTGTGTGTGTGTGTGATTCTGCTCTGTTTTTGGCCCCCTTACAACAGATTCTCCCCCAAATGCCTCTGATGCTCATTTACCAGTCTCTGAACATCCTTCTATGACCTCTTTCCCCCATCAGAAGGTGGGAATTCTCCATGCACAATTTGTAGCCAGCTCCCTTCTTCTGGTACAACAACCTGTCCCCACAATGAACATGGCAGGAGCCAATTAGTCAACAATCTGTGTTGCAGAACACACAGTTGTCAGGAGGTGTCACCAACCAATCACCAAAAAAAAGAAAAAATGTACTAAATGATTGTCTCACCTTATTCAAACCGGATGTTGTGGCCCAGAAATCTAGATAAATCGCTGTCTGCAATGTTCCCTAGGCCATTGATGATGAAGAAATAAAATTCCGATTTGTTCGAATAAACAAGCCACCCCCAGTAGACTCCCTTTATATTGGTTCCCGCTACATCATATCTGGTTCCAGGAAGCTGACAATCATCCCAAAGGTGAGTATCCAAGTGTTTGCTACTCTTCAGGGTCAGATGTCAGGCATGGTAAACCTGTGGGGCAGGTTACAAGGCTTTGCAGCAAACTGAAATTGGGGAGAAAACAAATGAGGTTTGGGATGAGCAAAGATACATCAAAGTTAGGTGGAAAGCAATTTAAGGGGCCACACAGGAGTGTAGGTTGGACCTGAAGAGCTAAGAATTTAGATTCAATATGTCCCAGAGGAGAGTCCATCTAAACAAAGCTTAGAGAGCAAGTCCTGGCTTAGGCAGTGTGAACTGGACTTCCGGGATGAGCTCTCACTCATCCTCAGATGTTAGTGTTTGAATCTGAAGACTCCTGCAGATGTACATGTTTAAACACTTAGTCCCCAGTGAGTGATAGCATTTTGAGAGTTTGTGGAAACAAATATGTGAGCCCTGGTTATCAGAAGCCTGTCATTAGTCTCAGGCGTTACGCTTATAGCCATGCCCTGCTTCCCACCTCAGGGTATGATTTGCTGATCCTCTGGGGTATAATGAGCCCAGCAACAATCTCCTGCCACAAAGAATGGACCTCCAGCTTATATGAATTTCCCACCATGAAACTAAACAACATCAGCCCTTCCCTAAGTTGCTTTCTGTCCGGTTTTTGTCAGAGTGATGAGAACAGAATCAGCAGGATGGGGGTCCCAGCTGGGTCCTCAACCTTCTGAGTAAAGACGTGTATGCAAAGGCTGTGGGTTACCTCGGTGTGAAAGATAGCCAGTGTCTAATGTGGTGAACAAGATCGCGAAAGTATGGGGGTGGGGACAGCCCACCTTTATCCCTTCCACAGGGTGAGTAGTTACACAGTAATTCTTTCTCTCTCCAGGAACTGGAGCTGTGCTACCGGAGCACTGGGGAATCCCAGCTCTTCTCGGAGATCTGTGTTGGTTGTATGGGTTCAGGGGTTAATCTGCAAATCAAAGACAAGAAGAATAAGAAACTTATATGGGAAGCCTTGCTGAAACCAGGTAAAATGTGTTTAGGTCCAGATACCCCAAAAGTTAAAGAAAGGCAATGAGTGGGGAAGGTGTGTTCTCATTAATTATTGGTATTTGCTAGATCCAAAACTGGGGGTCTGACCACAGTTTAATCTATGATGCTGTGTTAGTCAGCGATTCCCAATTTTGACAAAATAGGTGAGGTAAACAACTTAAAAACGGAAAGTTTTTCTTTGATTCATGGTCTTAGAACCAAGTTTCAGTTCATGGTCAGCTGCCTCCATCTCTCTGAGCCAAAGGTGAGACAAGATTCCATGGAGTGAGAGCTGGTGAAAGAGGAGGCTCTTTACCTGGTAGCTCAGAAGCAGAGAGGTGGGAGCAGGAGCTAGAATGAGAGCCAGGGAAGAGAAGAGAAAGGGGAAATGAAGGAGACAGGGGAAAGAAGAGAGGAGGAGAAAGAGAAGAAGGAATGAAGTCCATGCAAATATTTTCTTCCAGATCATGCCTCCAGTGACCTACTTCTTCCATGTACACTCTTATATAGTGTCCGTTCTCAGTGCTCACACAATTATGAGTGCATTAGTGTATGATGTCATTCATAAATTCACAGTCCTCAGAACCATCACCTTCTAATATGGCTGTAGGATTGGTCCTTCAACACATGAGCATTATCATGTCCAAATCACCACATACTATAAGTCTCATTTTCTCAGTCCTGTATCCTAATTTCCTCCCCACTACTCTTGAAGTGACAGATTTGGAGATGCACAAAGCATCTGGCTCCAGTTTACATAATATCTTAGTTTTAAGATGAAAGGACTTTGCTAACATAAGATGCTCAATCTCAAATCCACACACATTTTTAAATAAATTTGTTGACAATTCTATACATGCATAAAGTGCATTCTAGTAACTCCACCCTAAACACACCTTCTTATCTCCCTCCTACTCCTGCCAGCCCCTCTTCTTCAATACAAATCTCTTTTCCACATTCACAAAGTTTTGCTTTGTGTCTCACAGAGTTTAACTGGGACCAACTGTGTACCCATGGGTTTTGCACTATTCAGTAAAACCCAATGAGCTCACTAGCAGGCATACAGATGACCCTTGTCCTCATAATCTATTATTTGCCAATAATTTAGCAGTAAGTGGTACTGTCCCTGTGAACTGCTTCCCCATGTCCAGCTGAGTGATGGGCAAGCCCTATTTGTGTGGTCTAGAGACAATAGGTGCAGGTGCTATGAGTCCATGATGGTCATGTCCTGCTTAGAAGAAAGCACTTCACAGCCCTTCTCCGTATCTGTTTCAACATTCTTTCCACTTCTGAAATTACCCGGCGCAAGAGAGAACAGACCACGAAACACACAATGAAACTCACTTTAAGAGTTTATTAAAGAGAAAGATTCATGCACACAGGCCTGAGAAAGTTGGTGCAGGGAGAGAGTTTGGACCTGTCCTGCTGGTAAAGATGGCCTAGCGCATGCGCACAGTGGCGTACATAGCCACATCATAGGTGACTGAAGCTCACGCATGCACACAAGCGCTTATGTAGCTGTGTCATGCATAGGTGACGCAATCGCGTTGCATGTAGGTCACATAGGGCCTAAGGACCCTAGGTGGCTATTTAATTTGCCTGGGCGCTGCTCGGTGCATGCGTGGCCCTGGAACCCGGAAGTGCCGGCCGCAGCGTTGTGCAGTAAGAACCATAACGTTCCACCCTTTTGTTTATTATAAAAAAATTGGGGGGCTTAGGGGTCTCCAGTGGGTGGGAATGGGGTATTGAATCCTCAAGGCTGCTTTCTGCTGGCATTGTGGGCATCAGAGAGTTGAAGTGCTTGACCACATCCTGGGGTAGCTGGTTACTTCCGTGATCCTGGGCTCTGTAGAAGTGGCAGGCCAGCAGCTTGGACAAGGCAGAAGATTATGTTTAGAAAAAAAATTAGATCCTGGTGATTGAGGGAGGAGAGTCCCAAGATGGAAGGTAGAGGGGGGTTTCCCTGGATTCCCGAGGTGGAGGAGGGACTTTCCCAGGGGTCCCAAGACCAGGAATGAAAAAGAGATAAGTTTTAGACATATTAAAAGCTTATGGTTATGATAGTATAGTGTTTGAATAGATGATAGTTGTATAGTGGGAGAGGAGAGGAGAAGAAAGGGGAATTATTAGACCTCTTAATGCTTTACCTGAAGCAAACCTTAAGGCAATTGTTCTCTTTAGCACCATGATATTACCTTAACATCCAGGAGACACTGCTGCAGCCAGTGCTAAACCTGTTATGTTAAAGCCCGTTTTGTGAGTCTCCCTTGGGCGTCTGGGGCTGTGAATGTTCCCAAACTTGTTATTGTTTCTTACTGCCTGAGCCTCTGAAAGTCTTTGTACTTCTGGCTTTGTGTTTAATGTTGGTCCCTGTAACAACAGCTGAATGATTAACTGGAAATTTAAGTATAGCATTGGAGATACGTAGAAATTGGCAAAGTAAATAGGGGAAAAAGAAAAAGGGAGAATTCGAAAGGGAAGCATATGGAGTTTTGACACAGGAGAGTTGAGTACGGTGGTGAGACTTCATTCTTCTGGAACTGGAGAAAACATAACTGATCTTGATGTCCTCTGGAACTTAAGGGAGTAGGTCCCTGTTTGAGTTACTGTATACAAGGAGGGGGTGCCCCAAACTGGAATAATAAAAAGTTTGAGATGAGACAGGTGAATCCAATGAGGGAGGCCCTTGAGCTTGGCAGCTATGAGAGTTACAAGAATTACTTTAAAGGGACCCTGTCATTTAGAGGAAAGGGGTGTTGGTCTGGGGGGGCATAAAAGAACCTGATCTCTGATTTTAACTGAAAATGGGCAGGGGTTGGTGTATGACTGAGGTGGTGAGTATTCAGTAAAATTCCATAATAGGGAGCAAAGATGAAACAGCAGTGGCATAAGCAGGTGATCAAGTGAGAGGCCCAGAGTTAAAACCAGTCACCCATAGATGAGTTCAAAGGGCAAGATAGATAGGAGAACCCAGAGCCAGAGCCCGAGAAGAGCCAGGGGCTCTTCACCCAGTCAAGGTGAAGCTCCTGTGACATCTTAACAACAACATTCTTTAAGGAACGGTTAATTTGTTCTACCTTCCCTGAGGACTGAGGATGGTATGGGATATGAAAATGCCAAGGAGCATTAAGAGCCTTAGATAAAGTTTGAGAGATCTGGGAGGTAAATTCTGGGTCATTATCTGACTGAAGAGGGGTTGGGATTCCAAACCACGGGATAATTTATCAAAGAAGAATATCAGAAACTGTCTGGGCCCTCTTGTTAGTGGTGGGGAATGCTTCAATCCACCTAGACATGGAAATATTTAACTCATTTAACTCATCTGACTGTGAGCATATGAGTAAAAGCAAGCTGCCAGCCAGTTTCTGGAAGGGAGCCCCTGGCCTGATGAGTGAGAAAAGGGAAAACTATGATATTTGGACTTGGAATCTGGCTTTTGACAGATTTTACAAGAGGCAGTGATAGCTTTTAAGTCTCTAAGTCTTCAGGAGTGGGTTGGAGGTGAGCCTTGCTATTAGGATGAAAGAGCTGATGTAGATAGGACAGAATTTGCTAGGTGTTAGGGAGTGTCTGCAAGAATGTGAGCTGTACTGTATGAACCTCCTGAAGTGATTGAGGTAGGTTTGGACTCTGAAATGCTGCTGTTCTAACTGCTTGGTCAGCCCGGTTATTTCCCTTGGAAATAATGGAACTGTCAGTCTAATGAGACTGACAGTCAATAATTCCTATAGCTTTGGGGATATGGGAGGCTTTTAACAGGTCCATAATGTAACTTGAGTTAGTTATGGATCCTCCTTTTGTCATAAGTCTGTGCTCTTTCCAGATAGCTGCATGGGACAGGAGGATATGAAAGGCATATTTGGAGTCTGTGTAAACATTTAAAGATTGCCCCTGTGCTAACTGGAAGGCACGGGTAAGGGCTATTAATTCAGCCTGCTGATTAGCGGTATGGGCAGCGAGTGCCTGTGCCTCCACTACCCCAGTATCTGACACTATGGCATAGCCTGCTCTGCGGGTCCCCTCACCTAAAAGGGAGCTGCCATCTATGTACCAGGTATAAGTGGCCTGGGACAGTTTGCCCTCCTGTATATGTGAGGAGTGGGGCAGTAGATCCTCTAAGGTTCCTATGCAAGAATAAGATGGGGAATAATTAATATTAGGTTGAGGTAGGAGATTTTAGATATTAAGGGGTGGGCAAGATTGAAAAGTAAAAGTGAGTGTGGCATCTTCCACTAGTGGCACCTGAAAGAAAAGAACTCAGGAAGGAGGGGTTTGTAAACCTTTATAAGTTAAGATATGGGACGCATTGTGGTGGAGAAGACAGTGGTAGGTGACCCAAAGGTTAGTTTCTTTGACTCAAGAATAAGCTTAACGGCTGCTAAAGTACATATGCAGGGTGCCCAGCCCTGAGTAGTGAGGTCTAGCTTCTTTGACAGGTACGCTACAAGTGCAAAGGAAGGTCCCAGCTGATGTCCTATGACTCCAAGCGCATATCCCTCCTTTTCTGTTACACAGAAGGAGAAAGAACGAGTTAAATCTGGGAGATGGAGAGTTGGAGCCTGGATAAGGGCTTGTTGGAGTCTCTGGAAGGGCTTAGTAATGGGATGGAGAAGGGGCTCGTACAGAGAGCCAAGAGCAGCCTCATATAAGGGGTGGGCGAGGAGTGAAAAAGAGGGAATCCAGAAGCACAGGAAGCCAGCTATTCCTAAGAATGATAAAAAAAAATTTCCTCTTTTGTAGAAGGAACTTCAAGGAACTGAATTAGTTTTTTTCCTCTCTAGGGTAATAGCTTTTTGGGTTGGGGTAACAGTTAATCCCAAGTAAATGACCTGAGAAGTAGACAGTTGGACCTTAGAAGGTGAGATTCTATAGCCCCTTTTGGACATAAAATTTTAAGAGCAGAGGTATCAGTCTTGCTGATCTCCAAGGATGGACTGCAAAGTAAAATATCATCTACATACTGTATGAGTTTAGGCTTAGGGAGAGACAGTGAGAG